ATTAAAGAAAGAGATGTATCATCAACAAGTATGTTTTTTTTTTTGTATATCAAAGTTTACCTAAACTTAGAAACTGACATGATCTGTGCATAGAAATTGGCTGGATATAAAGTTGCTTTGGCAGAACCTCAGGGTGAAAATGAAGATGACATAGAGGTTCGGGAAAAAGAGCGCCAAGAAGAGCAGGCCAAGATTGATAATGGTATAATTTAAGCTTCGACGTCACATCGTTTAATATCCATGCTAATCTGAATTTTCACATTTGAATTGTAAATTAGCCGAAGCATTAACTGAAGAGGAAGAGGCAGAAAAAGAAGCATTAATGGAAAATGTATGCGAGCATTGCCTGTTCATCTGCCATCAAATAATTTTATTTATTACTTTTTTAAATAGATTTTCGAAGACTGGAGTAAAAGAGATTACAACAATTTTTTGTAATGATCAAAAACGAATTATTATCGTTATAAGAAATCGACCAACTGACTTTGAGGAATCAACCAGCTAAAACAAAATCATATTTAGCTAATTTTTTTTCATTATTGGCCTAAATCGTTAGTGTCTACCACGTTTGGCAGGAGTGCTACCATTGGAGATTATGAAAGAATCGGAGTTGACCTTTCGCTGTTAAATACAATTTGCGTTGTCAAATATAATATAATGCTAAAAAAGATAAACCATAAGTAAATACAAATAATAATTATAATTACTTTCTTTTCTTCCTGTACAGGCTGTGCTGCTTCCTCTTCACCGTGCTCCTTTTGTAAAAGATTGATAAGAGTAGCGCAGCGTCGAGCAATCTCTCCAGATGTCCTCGACTTGATAAACCAATTAAACCGAAACACTTCGGCACTTTCAATTTCATTCCGTATTTTCTCATACACATCTTCAGTTCCATATCCATATTTTGCAAGTGCAATTAATAGATATCGATCTTCCTCTTCTGAAAACAATGTCTTCCCCTTCGCTTGATTTGATACTTGTAATTGATGACCGGGCGTTCGATATTGTGCTACCTTTGCTCTAAGCAATTCCTGAATACCAACAGTCTGCTGCAATTTACTTTCGCCTTTAACAATCTTTGCGATAATTTCTTCATGGTCTTGATATTTTAAAGTTAATTAAATTTTATGTGACTTAATCGAAACAATTGACTATTAGAGTGTGGACATACTAGGTAATTCTTGATAGCGCTGCCAAAAGACTTTAGCATATGCTTTTACTTCGTCTAAAGTTTTGCCTTCTATTTCAGAAGCTATTTCTTCAAGGGCATTTCTAATACAGATCATCAAATCATGTCAATATTAAGACAATACCAGTATAACCGTTTCTTTCAAACACATACCTTCCATATTTAGCAGATGCATTCACAAAATTGTTGTAATCTCTTTTACTCCAGTCTTCGAAAATCTATTTAAAAAAGTAA